ACCCGTGAGGTATCATCTTCAGAGTTGTTGGAGGGTTTGTGTTGCAGTTATCTATTTCTACTAGAGGATGTGTGTGCTTTGTATGCCATGGTTTCATGGAGAATGGCGTCCTTCTGTTCAGCTCTTGCAATTATTGTTGCAATATCATTGTCGTCTTCCTCAAGAGGTTCCACTTCTGGTCGAAGGGTAGGGTGCAGAGTATCATAGAATTGTCGTTTAAGGATGTACTTGGAAATGCTTCCTCCCTTCATCCGGTCCTTGTACATTAATAGATCCGTAGCTACATCTGTAATTCTTTTGACATGCATTCCATTAACTTGCTGGAGCTGGTTGAATTTGTTGTATAGGAGGTCGTTGGCAATAGAGGATTGGAATCGTCCTTTCAGGTAATCGAGAACTGTAGATCCTCTTAATCTTACATTCCCGCCGTATTCCTTATAGCATTGGTGGTATGCGTCGGTTGCCTTTCCTTCGCAGAATGATCCAATGTATAGTCCGGTTGTAGGGTCTTCCACATCTTTCTTTTGCAGGAGGGGATAGTGTGTAAGTTGCGTCGCCCATCGGTCAAAGGCTTCGGGTTTGAGGTCTTTTCCTTCTCCTGTAAACTTCGCTGGGAGGTGGAGTTTAAACTTAGGAGGTTCGAAAACTACGGGTTCTTCCTCTTCTTCAGGCCTAGCCCAAGATTTTCCTCTTCCAGAGGGCCCTCCTCCTGTGCTAGCCATATCTGATTCGCTACTGGATTCAGGGTCGATTGGAGGTTCAAAGGAAGGCTTCTTTGCTGGAGTAGAAGGGAATTCTCCTGGAGGTTGTGTGTCTTCCGTGTTTGCAGGATCGCTCGGCTCTTTAGCAGAGTGCCGGTGTTGTTTCTTTCTTGTAAGGTCTTGACGTGGGATTTGCTTCCCACTCCTGGTCATCAAAGACTCTATCTTGGGTTTGAGATGAAGCCAAATGTGCTGTGATTCTGCCGCTTCTCTCCGCTAGCGTTCTAGGGTGGATATCGATAGGTTGATCAGGCCTAAATCCGGAGACAGGTTCTTAACTACTTGCTGAGGTTAAAAAAATGTAACATGTTCGCTAGGTGCTATTCACGTTATCGGAACTGGGTACGATAGTTGGCAGGTGGCCTGCTCTTCCAGAGAGGAGGCGAGAGCTGAAAACTAAAGGAGGCTTCAAGGGCGTACTGAGAAACAAAGAAGTAACCGTTCAACCAAGTATATTGAAATACTGTCTGTTGAAGTCTGCCTTTTCAATCGTAGAAACAGGCGGTCTTTAAATACACAAATCTGTTCATATCTAGCATGAACAAAACTAATCAAAGGTATCAATCGATACACTTTGGTAAAACTCCTTAAGTATCAAAGTGATACTTAAAACAAAACATAAAACAAAACCAAGTATCAAACGATACTTAAAACAAACCAAGTATCAAAGCGATACTTAAAACAAAACATAAAACAAAACCAAGTATCAAAGCGATACTTAAAACAAAACATAAAACAAAACCAAGTATCAAACGATACTTAAAACAAACCAAGTATCAAAGCGATACTTAAAACAAAACATAAAACAAAACCAATAACCGAGTACCCGTACCAGTTACAATATTTGGACTCTGGTTGAGGCAGGAAAAATGAGTATAGGCTATCTGAGGGAGAGTCCATCTGCAAATACATAAAGTATTAATGTGGCTTGTCTTTTATCCCATACTCCTTTTGTCTGTTTAGCCCAAACAGTCCTAGCTCATTTCATCTTATAAGTTCTTCCATTGAGAAATTTAAATGGAATTGGAGTTCCATCCATATTGCATATCTGACTAAGCCTAAAGTTCCCCTTATCAGTAGTTAGATGCATTCTTTCTATACCATTCTGGAGTAAAAAGTTATGACGATTAAAGTAGAGCCAACTTAGAATATGTGTCAGAAATTCTTCGGGAACTTTGGAGACTTTATTGGTTGTGAGCTCAATCGCAATGCCGTATTATTTAAGGAATCCGTTGAACCACCCTGCTGAGAATTGAAAGAGAAGTGTTGTATTGGGATTTAACTGTCAAATCACTGTGTTTCCTGTCGCTAGAATCATCCTTGCCGTACCACCCTTCCTGCCCCCCAACACTCTAAGAACATAGCGAAGAGCCATTCTTCCAATTCTGACCACCAATAATGTAAAACAGTATTGCTACCACCACAGCCACCAGGTCCTTGAGAAAAAAGCATTTCAACCTTCTTGGATTAGTTCTAATTACCGATAGTACTGGATGGAATTTTGAAGAATACTTCTACTTCCTGCATAGCTTGAACACCAAAATACCTTCTCTGTTGTATCTATTGCAATCCAATAATAATGAAGAAACATTAAGACCTGAATTTTTTTACCCTAACTATAGCGGCACTCAATGCATGTGATTGCCTTAGGTGTTTGATAGTGTACTTGCTGAGTGCTTTTGACTTTGGGCCAGATTTTTTCTTAATAATAGATGGTGGGTTTGGAGGTGAAATTATGTTCACATCCAATGGCTGAAGAGCCAATCCACCTGCCATACCATAGGTTGTTGGGCTGGATGGTAATGTGTGTGACAAGTATCACTAGTTGATTGCAGCCTGCTGTGGACATGAGGTTGCTTTATTGCCAAATTAGGCATGTAACACCAAGACGCCTCACACATTGCGTCTTACAGCCAAGCTATCCGGATTTTTCGAGATTTTACGGTACTGCTATGATACTTGAGCACTCTCACGAGGACTGAGGCTGCAGACCTCTGCCAACGCTACGGCACGGTGGGGGCTGGTTGGGATGCCGTGTCTGTGGGGAACACTTGTCATCCTCCAATAAGTAGATTAGTCAGTTTTTGCGAGATTAATGTCCCGTCACTGCCTACTTTCACCGGGGCTGACTGTGTTTCCCGCATGATCGACCAACGGAGGATCCCTCTCTGCGACCAGGGCTGAAATATTATTAATCATAGGACTCTTGAAACCCTAACCCAAGCACGGTGCTTTTCCCATCAGGATTCGAGACATTGACAGGAGTTTGATACCGGTACTGTATGGTGCTCGTACCCTATGTATGACGCCGGCAGGGCTCCCAAAATTCGACCCCCTTTCTCATTCGCTCACCCCATACGGTGGAGTATGGAGAGGACGTTGAGTATGAATCACGTTGCCAGATTACACGCAAATTCCTCCCTCCTGGGGAGAATCCCCCCACTCCGTACCCTGACGCAAGAGAAAACGAGAAAAACACTTTGCACTCGGGTAGGAAAATCGGAACACCTGGGAGCAAAACAGGGAATACGTATCAGGATGATCAGTGTGGAAGCGGGTGACAGTGAGCAGTGATCAGATTGTGAGTCGCCTTGAACCAGTGGTTACACCAGGGCTGTTACCGGTAGTCTACACTCAGTGGCAGGTGGTCAGTAATGACAGATGATGCCTCGAACAAACACACCTACCGGTACTGTAGGTGTGGCGAACACAACCTACCGTACTCGAGTACTTTTAAATAGCCGAGGTTAAACCACAGGCACCAGCACGAGATAGGAAAGGGAAAACAAAAAGAGTACCGGTACGAGTACAGTATCACACTCGTTGTGTCATTCCAAGCTGCGAGTACCGACCGCCGACACTTCAAACCTCCTCATCCGGCTTCCTGTTATCTGCCAAGCCCCTTTGGTTACAAAACTCTCAACACTCTGCTGCATACCCCGCAGGATCTTGTTGATCTCCTGTTCCGATTTTTTTTATCCCTACCCGGGCACTCGCACAACGGGAGAGCATTCCAAATACCGTAGCATTGGAAAACAAGGGGGGTAGGATACCGGTATGTGGCCGGCGCCTCGGATCAACCCTCACAACAACCAAATCCTCCCAACTCTCCGACAAACAACATCCCATGCCTTTATTCTGCTTATTCCTTCTCTATAAGGAATCGTGTTAGGAACACATTTACAGAGTAGATTTCATTCTAGAGGAGTGGTTCTTTCTCTTACTGTACTCGAGTAAGGTCGAGGCAAAATTTGGGTGGAGCCGAGGGGCTGGCACTTGTATGGGGAGACAAAGGCTTGGAACGAACATATTGCCTAAACCTGCATAAACTAGTAAGGTGACATACTACATTGGCACTTGTGCGCTTACTCTGGATGGCACTGGGAGCGATTCTAAGGTGCCAACACAATACCTTTTGAGTACGGGTACGGTACTGTACTTTACAAGTGCCAATCTTGGCAAAACAAGAAGAGTTCCACAAGTACCGGGTGTTGTGGGTTAGTTTGTTCCTTCATCAACATACGAGGAAATCAACCAATTGTATGCTCGGGCAACCTTTCCTCTCCATAAATTACAAACTCGGCCTACGAGAGAGTCAAGTTCAACAGACTTTTGCGCACACCCTTATTACTTGTACTTGTACTGTACTGTACATCGCAACCAACAAAAATATATATTCATTCTCACCCATCCCTATATCCCTCAAACAGAAATAAATCGAAAAAAGTCGCTGAAGAAAATCAGGAATTACTTAAGATGAATTGAGTGATTGGGTGAAAAGATTTTTTTAGTATGATAATTCCCCGGGGTTCCCGCTTTGATTGAGTGCGGCCTAACACACAGAAAGGTTTTCGGTCCCGAAAAAAATCCAAAACCACAATAACCCATCAAATCTTTCTTTCCAGTTTCGTCATGGGCCAAAAGCAAGGCCATTCCGTGCAAAGCTTGGAATGGCCGATCGTAAATTTCTCGGGCCATGGTATCCGGAGGGTTTTTTATGCCAAGGGCTCGGTGCTCATATGGTCCACTCGCACCAGCACAGCGCAACAGGTGAGGGAGGGAGGGGAGGATAGCGTGCCAATCGTTCCAAATGCGGTTAAGATTAATACGGTAGCTAAAGTCGGCCAGACTGACCTTTCGAGCCGCAACCGTTTAGGGCGCGACGTGCGGTACATAATAAACCCCCCTTCCCTTCCATTCCTTCCCTTCCCTTCCATTCCTTCCCTTCCTCCCCTTCCCCCCTTCGTTTGTATTGACGGATCCACGGTCAAGACTACCTTCTATTCAAAAGAATCCAGCCATACCCTCCCAGCCAAGTGTTCCCCAAGCTTTCCAGCTAAAATCCCGTGAAATTCGACCGACGTACAAGGGTCGAGAGCAAACTGCTTTGTTTGCCCACAACGATTCCCCTATCGCACTCCTCCACCCTCTCGATCCCCAACGAGCCAACGACACACTATGGTCCTAAGAGTTGGAATTATCGGGGCAGGAATCTCCGGCCTCGTATCCATAAAGCAGTGCCTGGAGGAAGGAGTTGAACCCGTGTGCTTTGAGGCCTTGGGACATTTTGGCGGTGTGCTTCCCCTCCTGCCCCTTGTTAGACGGCGGGATTGATTTGAGAATGGATAAACAGGGCAGTGGCACTACACAGACCCCGACCCACATACCGGCGAAGTCGCTAGTTCAATGTACCGCAGTGTCGTGATAAACACCTCCCGGGAGACGATGATGATGAGCGACTTTCCCATGGATCCGAATATGTATGCTATGTATACCGTATATCTCCCCCTCGCCCCTCATGGGATCGGCTGTCACATGCTAACCCCACCCCGGCGGGATGATGAAAACAGCATAATTCAAAGGTGCAGCAGTATTTTGAATCCTATGCAGAGTTTTTTAAATTGCAGCCTTACATCCGCTTCAATCATCGTGTTCGGAGAGCCTATCCGGCTGGGGATGGGAAGTGGACCGTCGAGGTGGAGAGTGGTGGGGAGGTAACGGTGGATACCTACGATGCGGTATTCGTATGCACGGGTCACCATTCCACGCCTAACATGCCGGATTGGCAGGACGTGGAAAAGTTTGAAGGGGAGTTGGTGCATAGTCATTATTATCGGGATACCGTCAAATTTCAAGGGAAGAATGTTGCGGTCGTCGGGGTTGGGAATTCCGGTGAGTTGTTGACCCCCTGCCGGAGATGTGGGTAACTAAAGAAAGTCATGGTATGGCGGTAGGAGCCGATATTAGCGCGGAACTAAGTAGCTGCACTAAATCTACACACCTGATCACTCGCTCCGGAACCTGGGTATTTCCGCGCTTCCTGCTCGGAGAGCCGTACGAGTACCTCGGAAGTAAGCCCCTCCTCCTATCATCCCTCACCCTGGAGCACGTGCTGATTATACCTACCAGGCCGCTTCATGCTCAACATGGTGCCCCGCAGTGTAGCAATCGCTGGGATGCAATGGGCTCTAAACTACACGCTTGGGACCATCCCGAAAGAGCTGAAGCCGGAACACAACCTGCTGGGTGCACACCCCACCATCCGCAGCGACCTGATCGAGCGAGTGCGGACGGGAACGGTAACCGCACATCGAGGGTCTATAAAAAGGTTTACCAAGAAGGGAGTTGAACTTACAAATGGGGAGATAGTGGAGCCGTTGGATGCGGTTGTTGCTGCAACGGGATATACCGTACGCCCACCTTTCCTAATTTCCCGCGGGGGCGACCTTGGTGTGGGGAAGAGACCTGAAGAGGTTGTAGCTGATAATCACGTAAACAGTTGAACTTCCCCTTCCTCCCAAAAGGAATCGTACAATCCGACGAGGACAAAGATGGAAAAGAAAACTGGGCGAATCTCTACAGGTTAATTGTGGCACCGGGGCATCCGGGGCTCTATTTTATTGGGCTGTGCCAAGCATTGTTTGCCCCCCACGCCACCCTACTCTACCAAGCTAACAGCACCCCAGAGGTGCATTAATGCCCGTCGCGGAAATGCAAGCAAGATGGGCCATCTCTGTCCTCAAAAACGAGATCCCTCTTCCATCACCCGAACGGATGAGTGAGGACATAGCAGCCTATCAAAACGATCTCAAGAAGGTGTTTGTCAGGTCCCCGCGCCACACGCTTGAGGTCGAGTTCTTCCCGTACATGGACTTGCTCGCCCAGGACCTAGGCGTGCACGTCACGCTTGGCCGGTTCTTCTCCACGTTTGGGGTTTGGCAAGGCATAAAGACCGCCCGGAGCGCCTATTTTGGGCCCCCGAGTGCAGTCCAGTATAGGCTATTCGGGAAGGGGAGGAAGGAGGAGCTTGCCAGGCTTGTTTTGCAGAGGCTGGCGAGGAAGAGGAATGAGGAGATGAGTGTGGAGGAGATGGCAGAGGTGGAGAGGTATAGGGTGGGCAATTGAGTGGAGGAAGGAAGGAGACTTTCAGAGCGCAGGGTAGGGTGGGAGGTCCCGGTTGTGGTTGCCGGCGTTGGTGGCGTGGGGAATGGAAATAATGTTATTATACCAGTAAAAAAAAAGAAAGTACGCACTGCGGGCCTTGCTTGGTGCAGATTTCAGTACAAATTGGGGGGGGGGGGAGTTATAACGAAGGCCTTAGAAAAAAAACTTCACAGAAATCAAGAATCAAAATCACAGGAGGGTCCCATCTCATTCAACTATAGGCATCTCGAGTTATGGATGGCCTTCCGTGTCATAGACGTCCAAGACAAACACTCCGAGTCCCGGCTGGCTACCGCTGCGATAGGGCACAGTATGACTAGCATAGACCACCCGAGACCTTGAGCGAGCTGGAAGCGATTTGCTCCTTCCCCAACCAACCGGAGATCTTCAATTCAACGACGTCCAAAGCCCTCTCCTGCACTTCCCATGATTCCATCACTGACTCCCGCGGAACCGCCCCTAGCACCGTGTCCTCCCTCTCTTCCAATCCACTTGCTAGGGATGCCTCGTTGTTTCCCGGTGTTGGGGTCCAGAGCAAAGGAAAGAGAAGGTTTGATTAGATTGGTTATCAGATTCTCAGACCGCACCTTCTGATCGGTTATAATAAGATCTGGATGGATTATAGACTACAGAAAGTGTGTTTATCGCCGGGTGGACCCACCACGATCCGCAATGGTAGTAGTAGAACGGACTTTTCCAGGCATCTTAACAATCCGCCAGTAGAATCGGTCAGGAGGGATCAAGCTTCGGCTACCATTGATCTTCCTCCCTTACCACGTACAGACTAGGCAGGGTTCGGAAATCCAATTATATATAGACTTTCGCAAATCGGTGTTGGTACTGCACGTTTCGAGCGACGCCGAGGGCGAGCACACCATTTACCGGTGCCCGATACCGAAGACAAGAAAAGTAGAAAAACATGCGCAGCGAGTAGAAAATGCTGCCTGTTTTCTTAATAGAACAAACGTCCGGGTAGGGGTGCACCCTGCGCTCGGGGGCCATAGGCCTATTTGGCGCTATGATAGCAGGAAAACCCGCCCTAACCCACTGGCCCAAAGACTAAAGGACCACCTGGAACCAGACGACATAGTCACCCTGCGCGAGTATCCTCACAGGAATGTCCAGTTGTATGGAGACAAGCCCATGGACCGAGTTCAGTGATAGCATCGCGACTACAATGCTCACGCCAAGGTCCCCTATGGTCAAGCCGATTCCGGGGATGTGGGTGGGGGAACCCACCCAAGCAATCAAGTTTGCTGCTCAGAACATGGCAGTGGTCCCGCAAATCTCCGCGAGAAGAATGAATGCACAGATGCTCAATCTCTTCGGGTACGGAGTCGACTTCGATCTCCGCCAAACGATCTTTTTTGCCAAGAAGTAGGAGCCCAAGAGTGTTGAGTTGAGTTGAACACTTGCAACTTGCAATCTGGAAAACCTCGGAATGCGCTAGCAGGGGGCAGTATGGGCAGTAGTAGTAGATTCCGACAGAGAACTGTTTTAGATAGAGTAGTGTATTTGATGACATTGCAAGGGAGTCTGTTAAGCTACTCCTAGGGAAGCGGATAAATTGTCCTGGTGCGGGAGGGGTTGAAGGGTGCCAGAATGATGGGCACGGCGGGCGGGGTGGACTGGCTGTTACGCCGGGTTCAAAAATTTTTTCCCTGGGAATCCGCTGAGGTATGATGGTCCCTAGGGTGCTATGATAACAACTCACTCATGATTCCGGTCAGCGATGAACTTAACATAAATTCCGAAAACTTCCTTAATTGAAAACTCTTGGAATTGCTGCAGGACACGAGCGGTTCTGTCTATGCAACAATGGCAGCTTTGATACAATGCCCGTCGAGAGTACAGTACACCTATGCCCCCCGAAGCCCATCGCAAGACTCACCGGGTCATTAATAAACCCTAACCCTCTCCTCGGATTCTTCCGAACCCGCGAATCTTGTCATTGGCACCACCAAGTTACGATACCGTATGATATCATAACTTTCCCTTGGAACTTCTGGCAGCGCCGCGAGGGTCACTAAAGGCAGTCAGGAATGCGAAATTTATTTCCCGGTGCGCCTTCCTTTGTCCGTCATGTCCGTGGGGATCTAATGCCTGCTATTTCTGTCTCCCTGTCGATAAGATGGGAATTTCATCTCACAGGCGGATATGCGTTCAAGTTAAATTCCCTCAGGGTTTTTCTACATTCCGTGGCTGGAGGTCGATAATTCCGGTGATTTTCGCGAGGATATCATATGATATCATACCATACAAGAAATTGGAGCACGAAGCATCGTCAGTTAGCACAGTATTATGCCAGTGTAAAAATTATTATTAAAACCAACTAAAATAAACCACTAGAAATCATACAACACCCAGCCACTAAGGCCCATGAAAAAAACATCTCCACTAACCAAATCCCCACCCCCTTTCCCCCCCCCCCCACCACCCCCTCGTATGATAAGCTCCCCCGTGCAACCCCCCGTAGAATATTATTTCCCAACCCCGAACCCGAATCCCAATACGTGTCCCTCAACAAATGATACACATATACCAAACCCCTATCCCGAACATTAGCTTTTCAACCCTACCATGAGATGTCTTGGGAACCCATATGATACCTTCGTCAACTGGAGGACTAAGCTCTTCCGGGGCGGCGGTGGTAGTAACGATGCTCCTAACTGGCTTCATTTGTTTTTTGTCCGAATTTAATCACGTCGGTGCGAAGTAATGATTTGATTTCTCGAGGGAGGTGCTCGATAGTAGTAAGGTGGTAGCCTCGGCGGTGTATTTGTGGTAATGAGTGGCGCAGTAATTGCTGGTATTGAGAGAGAGATATTGGAGAAAGAGAAGAGCTGAATATAGCGAGGACTTGAAAGAGAAGGAATCGCTGTCGGTATTGATGGGAGGGAGAAGTACATTCCCTGGCCTGTTTATATATCTCATACTCCCGTATTCTAAGAACAATCCCATCACGGAACAATAGCAATACAGAGGTCAAGAACAATCAGGAGGTAAAGAAATTAGACACAATGACTTAACGACAGCAGGAGCAATGGCTCGGGAGTTACAATACAATGTCTTGAAAATTAAGCTCCCGAGGTACAATGACTCCTGGGGGGATGTTCGAACTACATTGTTCTTGGGAAGGGTTTTGACCTAGATTTTGATATCCTTTGGAAAATGTATAAAACAGTTGCGGTTTCCCCTACTCTTTCGTGCGCGCGTACCCTAAACATTAGCTCAAATGCACTAAAGAGGTGTTCCAGCCCATCAACTGAGTGTTGGTTATCCGCCAAGTTTGGCCATCCCACCTCTTCAGACGCGAATTTCCCTATACTGCTAGAAGAGCTAAAGAGGCCACTCCATAGATGGGTGGCACATCCGCAAAGATGAAAACAAGACCTACTTCCCCCGCTTCCGGAGCACGAACCGGTTCCCTCGAGATCCTTGCTGCATCGTCGAACTCTTCCACCTTACAAGTACCAACCATCCAACCCGCACCCCCGCGCGCAACTCACCCTACCTCTGGTCTCCTACGACCAACAGCCGAACCGAATAACAGTGTTCACATATCCGCGTTGAAAGTAAGGCGGGGCGAGATAATATGCCCCTCGATCCCAAGCAACACTTGCGTTTGCGGCTTTCCATGGAAACAGTAGCCTCATAGCACCTAACCCTGAGGAATGTTTCCCGGTTTTTATCGGGGCCAAAAACCATGCGCCTGACTCGCTTTCTATCTAACGATTTTGCAGCAGATTACAGGCGGACGGAAGTGGAAAAACTTGCTCGACCTCTGGCCCGGGAGCCAAAACAACCAAGCAAAAATATAATCGGACAGGTTTTCTAGGCCAATCCGCCCCCTTTACACGACCATGCAACCGACAGACCGACTCTCCTGCTGCATCCTGTGGGCGGAAATGCACTTTTAATGGAACTGTTCAAGCGCACTGGCTTCCTGCCAATTTCCCACCATACCTCCACAACAGTAGTACTGGTAACCACCCAACGCAGCACAACCTCCAAAAAGGTGGGTTCGTCCCATCCCCTGTTCACCCTACGACACCCTACGCATTAGCCTTTAGCACAAGAAAGACGTGTCCCGGTGGTGCAGGGCGGACGGATCTATTGTGTCCGATATGCGAACCTACTTCAGCAGCTAATAATAATCTGCACTGAGGGTAGGGATAGAAAGCCGGAACTACTCACGTGCTACAAGAAAGGCTAACGGATATCCCCTTCTGACGAGGTTAGAAGTAGCCAAATCACAATACTTACTTTTATGTTGCCTAAACGATTTTGAGGCGTGCAGTGCGTTAGTGGGAGAAGAATGGAGAGGAAAGAGGAGATTTACTCACGGGATGTGGCGCAAGATAAAGTATCAGCTATAACCCGCAGGAGGGGGGATAGTGGTTCGCATACAAACTGGGAAGGGCAAGCAGTAACCGCCTAACCGCTTGAACAGGTGTGACACGGTGATTCGCAATACTTATACTCCCATTGAGGACAGGAAGCTTAAAGTTAGTCTGAATCACAGGCATTGATGGGGACCTCAACAGTCGTCGGTTTCACAGAAGCAGTAACGATGGGAGAGATATATGGGTAAAGTAGGAATAAGCATCTGAGGGTGCCCGAGTTCTCTTACAGCCTGGAGGGAGCAAGAAGCCGGTCAGCAATTACCCCGTCCGGAAGACAATACTTAGCGAGCCAGGGGTTAATAATTTCCTCTCACCTTGAACTTGCCCGATCCTGCTACATGCAAGCTACAACACCCGCAACTGCGCAACTAACTGTCACTTTGTCGTCTGGGCCATTCACCAAGTCCCCCCCCCCACCTGTGCCTCCCAGCAATTCATCAACCTTATTTTTCTACCCACTGGTATTGGGGCTTCTAACTTATACCCCACGCTCACAGGCCAATCCAGAGTTAGTGTATCAATCTTGACACTTTTCTTTCCTTCTTTCCAAGATGCAAAAAAACTCAGGTGAACCCTCTAGATTACCCCCAGCACACCGACCCCATCATACCAGGCTCTTTGACTCGCTTAATGACATAGGAATCAACGAAAGGAGGCTCGCCTCGTTCACCCCCCCAAGCACTGTAGGCACCTCCGATTTCCAACCTCCGAATTACCGTATTCTATGGCCACTGCGGAATACCACAAATCCAAATCCATTTTTTGTGAGGACTATTCCGCAACAGTGGCTGATCTAGCGTGCAGTGCTGTGGTACCGGCATGGGCTCCTGGGTATCTCGAATGGGTTGGAAACCCATTTACCCTTTCATGACTAGTCTTGCACCTTCAGAAAACCCATCCTCCGACGATGTGGGGACCCAGCAGGAAACTCCCCTTTGTATTTTCCACCACCTTTCCTCTCCCTCATTCTTCCTTTCATCCCCCTAGCTACTCAGGAGTATCCCCCTCAATGCCGCACTGGTTATTATACGGTAGAAGGAGAGAAGAGGTCTGATTAGATGCGTTGGTCATCATCACCATACCGCGCTTCTGACAAGCCGAACTAGGGGCGGGGAATATTGGTGCGACGCCATGGCAATGCATACATACAAAATATATGTACGATCCCACACAAGATCA